GTCTATGTGTCTGGCAAAAACCAATGCATCTGTGAGGTTTCAGTATGCAACTATCCTCACTCAACACGTGGCACTGGGGTGCGACAAAAAACCCGAGGAAAAACATTAAAAGAAACGATCGCACCCGGTGCCAACTCTCCGACTATTACGGTATGGTTGACAGAGGGGATCCCGCAGCATCTAGGGCGGGGGGGTAAATGCCACTACGTAATCTCGCTAACCTCCCGCCACATAATAATAATNTTACAAGCGGACATCAACGCAGTAGTATTTTAGCAAGCTTACGAACGCATATAGGATACCATCAGGATTGTCATTGGTAAGTTGAAGAGGAGATACTTTTACGATGTAAATGACAGTAGAAATAAGTCCTATATATGTTGTTGTACTTCGTATTGGTTTAATATTCATGTAGAGTGTGAGACATTAAGTAAAAGTTTTCTGAGGTACATCTGCAATTGTCGGAAGGCAAAAATAAATAAATAAATAAATATAGCTGAACCGCTCCTGAATCTAACCGCACCGTGTTGTCACGGATACACAGGTGGCCAGTGGGCACGGTTGTACGGGGGCGTTGTGCAACCTCCGACCAACCAGGGGTTATTACATGGGATAGCGTGGAGGGGTTACAGGCCGAGCGGGCATAACGTACCGGGTTATGAAAGCGGTTATGCACGGATTGGTGTGAAGGAGGAGAAAAGGAAAAAATATGTGTGAGCCTTCGGATTGGTGTGAAGGAGGAGAAGAGAAAAAAATATGTGCGAGCCTTCCCCTCCCTTGCTACATTGTCTTCCACCCTTGCCTGTATTGTATTTACGCAATACATCGACAGATAACTTTACTCTATTACGGTGGAACACAATTAAACAAGACCAAATTGGGCACTTCCCGTTCTCTCAATTTTTTTTTTTCAAAATATATATCCTCTCACGCAAAAGTTTTTTTGAAAAACACATCTCTTTTTTTTATTAATATCTTTTGCAACTTTTGCACGCAACTAGTGAGCAATACACACACTGGGCGGGTTCAACAGAAAGCCTGTTACATCAGCTGTCGAATGACGCTGGTTTTATGCCCATCGAATGGTCACAGCACGAAGTGAACGGCGCTAAAAGCAGGCACTTCATGGCAGCAATTTTCGAGCGGGGTACTTGTTGCGGTTCGGGAAACAAATTTGGTTCTAAAATAGAACCTGTCGCAAACTGCTGAACATCGCGCGCACAACGCCACATTTGAATTTGAGCCAGCCGTTGTAGAGCAACTCGCCGTCAACGCCAGGCACCTGGCCAATCCGGCACCCATCATGACCGAGCGTGGTAGGCGGGTACCGACAGGCGGCACCAGTGGCCGTCCGCCTAAAGCGATCAAGGGGGCTAACGCTGCGGCCGCCAGAAATGCAAAGGCTATGAACAAGCTCCTGGATGATATGGAGAAGAGAGAGGCGTCGCCGCTGCCGAAANGTACCGACAGGCGGCACCAGTGGCCGTCCGCCTAAAGCGATCAAGGGGGCTAACGCTGCGGCCGCCAGAAATGCAAAGGCTATGAACAAGCTCCTGGATGATATGGAGAAGAGAGAGGCGTCGCCGCTGCCGAAACAGCTCTCGCGGCCAAGGAAGAAGAGGTGAAGGCCATGAAGGCGTCAGTGCCCAGGGATCGCGAGAAGCTCGCGCGGGACATCGCGAGGTCGGACTTGCTTCAACAGCAGCGTGAACGGCGAGAGCAGGATCGTGTCAGCAAGGCTGCTGAAGCGGCGACTTCCAAGCGTCCCCCTCTCGCACTGAGTGACNCAGCTCTCGCGGCCAAGGAAGAAGAGGTGAAGGCCATGAAGGCGTCAGTGCCCAGGGATCGCGAGAAGCTCGCGCGGGACATCGCGAGGTCGGACTTGCTTCAACAGCAGCGTGAACGGCGAGAGCAGGATCGTGTCAGCAAGGCTGCTGAAGCGGCGACTTCCAAGCGTCCCCCTCTCGCACTGAGTGACGTTTGTCGAGGACTCCGTGCAATCGCTGAGGCCCAAGACTGGCGAGCTCACCACCCTGCAGCAGTCGCGGATGATTCTCATGCTGTTCTTCGACCTGGTGAAAGGAGGCAGCTCTGAGAACCACGCAAAGCAGCAGGTGAGAACCAAGAAACATGGCTGTTGCGTAAAAGTACCAGTAGACTAGACCATATAGTCTAGACGCATGTCGTTGTCACGTTTTTACAGCAGTACAGTACTTTTTTGGTACATTGTACGTATGCATACATCCCACCCAAGATTTTTGTTTAAGCAACAGCAGTGCTTGATACAGCTCTACATATTGTGCATCATGCCAGTACTGCTGCCGGCCCATGGTCACATTGCTTGCACTGCTGTGCTGATGCCCGTTACTGCTGTACAATACTTGAGTGGCGTATAGATGGACTATAACGGAATGCTGCAAGATGTACAGCAGTGTACCAGTAGAGCAGTTACAGCAGCGCTTTGTACCGCTGAATGTAAAGGAATGTATGCATGTGCATGGCACCACCATTCTCCTCGCGTGCGCTGTTCGGTTATCCACACTTTGCCGTCCCTTTAATACCGGCTGTTGTACACCAACGCAATACACTGCAACGCAATACACGCTGTGTTCTTACGAACTTTTTCCCACCCTCCCTCTGTGANCCGCTGAATGTAAAGGAATGTATGCATGTGCATGGCACCACCATTCTCCTCGCGTGCGCTGTTCGGTTATCCACACTTTGCCGTCCCTTTAATACCGGCTGTTGTACACCAACGCAATACACTGCAACGCAATACACGCTGTGTTCTTACGAACTTTTTCCCACCCTCCCTCTGTGAGGATGACCCATCTTTATCAGGTCGCGAAGACCTTGAGGATCGGTACGGACAAGGTCCTGGCGGTTCGCACACTCTGGTATGACAAGCAGGAGTTGTACGAGATCAACGGGTAGGGGCGAGGCAAGGCCACCAGCGTCGACGACGGGCGACCTGTCATCACCAAGGAGCAAGAGGATGGACTGAACGAATTCATCAAGGGCGAGCACGAGGCGGGACGTCAGGTCTTCCGCCGTACTGTCAAGGATTACTTGGAGTGTTCGTACGGATTTAAGATGTCGAATCGTGCTGTGGGAGGGATGCTGCAGCGCCTTGGCTCCAAGCGCCGTAGGGGTAGGATTAATATACCTCCGTTGATCGAGGAGAGGAAAAACCGCATCCCCTTCTTTCTTGTTAAGATGGACCTCGCGAAAAGGGCAGAGGACGCTGGGATCGCAGTAATTGTGTACATGGATGAGAGCTTTGTTCACCAGGCGCATGGTTCCGCGTACTCGAACTTTCCTTCTGACGATAAGGGGGTTGTGCAGGATGGGATATGCCGTACAACGGGGAAAGGTTTGCGTATGATCATGGTGCATGCGATCACGAAGCACGGGCCCTTGGCCGAGCTACAGGAGAGATTTCCTATCCGTGAGGGTAGGTTCGAGGCTAAGGAAAATCGTGCGAAGAAGATTGAGCCTGGGGAGGCGGATTTCGAAAGGTCAGATGAGCAGACAGCAGAATTTCTGTGGCAGGCCAAGTTGGCAACTGGAGATTATCATAACGCCATGACGGATGGGATGTTCATGCAGTGGTTGAAGCACCGACTTACCCCGGCCTTCGATGCGCAGTTCAAGAACAAGAAGATATTTCTCGTTCTCGATAGCGCCTCATACCACCACTGCTTTGACGAGGAGCTCAAGGTGCCCGAAACCAACAGCAAGAAGTACAACGTCGAACTCTTGCGGAAGTACGGTTGCACGTTGTTCAAGGTGACGCGTGAGTCGGAGGGGGGCTGCTGAGTACAACCTTGAGGTACCGGCGCAGGGGTCGTTACCCAATGCGAACCGCAAGAACGGCGTCAGCGAAGAAGAGATAGCCTCCGTCACTCGGACGTACTTCAAAACGAATTTCCTACAAAAGCTCGAGGAAAAGGCTGAGACGTACATGAGGGAGAAGGGGTGGGGGTTAATTTGGACACCGCCGTACATGCCGACTTTCCACCCGATCGAGCTGTTCTGGCAGCACGGCAAGCATTACGTAAGCATTCATTTTGAGAAGGGGCGGAACATGTTGGATGTTTGGAAGCAAATCCGTCTCGGTTGGTATGGAGACCCGGGATTGGGCGGTCAGGAGGGGGGGTGGAAGGTAGCCAATTGTGGAACGTTGGTGGGAGCATGCCATTGGCAAGATGAACGAGTGGATCGGCCTGTATGGTAGAAACCTGAGCGGTACGATCGGTAGCCTCGAGTGTCCAGTGGCAGAGTACCAAGAGGCTATGGCCGAGGATGAGATAGAGGATGGGGTGGAGGAGCAGACGAATGAGTGGCTGGGTGAGGACGCGGAAGATGCCGTTGAGGGCTGAAAAAAATGCAAAGAAAAAAAATGCCCTGTTTTGGGCCAACATTTTTCGACTTTGATTCACGAACAGCGACACGAAGGGGGCTGCACAAAAGGTGCCATCCTGAGTGTAAGCTGACATATTGGTTGATATTTCGCAATTGAGACGGCTGTATCAACCTGTTCAAACAATAAATGGATCACCGGTGCAAGCACTGGGGCCGCATCGTTTGAACACCGCGCTTCAATGTTTTGAACATCGCCGGGTACGATCACACACTAAGGCGGTTTCTTACGGTTTGAAAAATTCCAGTTGAAAAATTGAAATTTTCAATTCCCAGATCCAACTCGGAAAATCTCACTCAAAAATAGAGCAGCCGTCTTACGGATCGACGGAATTGGAAACGCTAAAAAGAGGGGGGGGTCACAATTACACCCCCGCCAGACGACGCAACATCATGCCGCTAGTGGAACCACTGCTGCTGCAAGGCGCGAACAATTACTCCGATGTGCTGCTGCGGTGGATACTCGGTTGCGACAAGGCGACAGCCAAAAACGTGAACATCCTTCAGAACGCGGCCATCTGGTACGCGTGCTCCGTGATCAAGCGCGCGAACGGCACAGCATCCCAATAGGATACCGAGCGTGCTGTGCGCCGGCGACCATCCTCCTCTTGGATCTGGTGCAAAGCCGCCAACGCGACTGACAGCACTGTTGCTTCCAACAGACCGTCGCCGGTCCCCATATCGGGCGCACCGCGCTGACAACAAAGCACCGGGTCTGTCTGTCTGCGCGTGTGAGGCGCTGTGCTAGGCTGTCACGCGCTGTGCTATGCTGTGCTGTGCTGCTTTGTGGTGCGCTGTTGTGCACTGTCGGGTGCTTCCAGCGACCAAACAAAGCAGGTGTGGTGGGGGGTCTGTGTGATGCACCCCCCTCCCTAGGTTTGGATTTCCAACTAGCTTTTTCAACTCGGTCGCGACTTGAAAATGTCTGAAATTGTCAACTGCGCAGAGCATTTCCAATTTTTTTTGGCCTGAGTTGAAAATATGTTTCTCAAAAAAATCGATTTTCCAAACCGTAAGAAGCTCTGTTCGGCTGGGAATTGAAAATTTCAAGTTTTCAACTGGAATTTTTCAAACAAACCGTAAGAAACGGCTAATTTCGTAGTCTTCCTCGAAGATATGGTGCATATTTTTTTATTTGTTTAGCGTAGAATGACAACTCTGTACTTTGTCGTCAATTTGCGCTACACGTGTTGTACTCTGTGATTGATTGGAGATTCCGCATGGATGGACGAAGTTACACTATATTCCAATTTGGTACGAACTAGCATGTTGCACCGTGATATCTCAAGATGATCGGTGAAGCACATTTCGCGCGTGATGGATCGAACCAGCAGCTTGCGCATACATGATCTGACGGATGACCGCCATGCTACATGTTGAAACATATGTGGCCCTGTTATCAAATTCTATGAATACATATTAGGGGCGGAAACAATGGTGGCAACGCCACCCACGCGGCCGACAAGAGCACACTTATACTCTGCGGTCCCCCCCACGAAAAACGCAGAAACTCCGAGTAATGTCTTCCATTACGTTCAATGCTAAGTTTTTATGTTCCACAGCAGCAACTATATGTTCCACAGCAGCATCTACAACATATATACGAAGTATAATAGAATTATTTCATGCTGAGCTCGCAATTTTTTCAGCAGAGATTATGTTATTATGTAATAATACAATGTATGTTCGACCACTATTGTTATATTATGTTTTTAAGGAGACAGACGTACGTACGTACGCACGTACGTACGTGCGTGTTGTCGCATTGACTTTTACAGAGAGAGGCAGCGTATGTATATATATATAGTATATATCATCGCCTACTCTCTCTCTCTCTTTCTCAGTCTTTGCTTTGCCCTTTCAAGGAGTGATGCCGTGGGCGGTGGTTTGCTCCTAGAGGTAGATGAAGGTTCTGTCGTTGACACGCTTGTCCACGACCACGTTGAGATGAAAAAGTTGCTTGTTATTGCTGAGAGACGATCAGCAAAGGTCTGGGATGAAGTGGGGATCCAACTTCATCTCAGGGGGTACACAGCGTAGACAATTCTAAGGGGGTAGGGGTCAGAAGGGTGTACCTCCTGACCGACCCGCATCCTATCAACAATAAGATGTACCATATTCATGCTAGCCGCCACACTCCTTAACACTAGCCCACCCTGAATATCATATATGCAGATTCTATACTCAAATCAATGTTCAAATCCCAGTCTAAAGCATAATTATTATTTTAGCTGATGATTTATGATCATGAATCGAAGATATGACTCTTCACAAAACATCCAAAAGGAGGGTGAGTTGTAGAAATATCCCGAATCAATCCCCCACACCATCATTGAGATGAAGAATGCGAACGGTCACGAGACGGAACATCGACATCTCAATGACAACGCTTGAAGGGATAAAGCTACGAAGAATATCTATTGCGGCAGAGCACACTATCATCCTGAACAGACGAAGACAGGGGACAAAAAATCAATATCCAGACGCCACACACCACTCTTTTACGCGCACCCGCGCGTATCACCGCTGGAGGAATGGGGGTGACTACCCGAGCGAGTCCAAAATACGGTGACGAAACTCAAAACCCAAACAAATTTCCGAACGAATACGGCCTTTGATACTGGACGCGACGCAAAGGGAAAACTCAACGCAATCTAGGACGTTAACGAAGGGCAGGAGAAAAGAACGACAGGCAAAGGCACGGAGAACGATGGCCAGCGTGCCAGGGTACCCAACCCGTATAAGGAGACGACAGGGGCAAGACCAAATGAGGACCAAGGATGCAAAGCACAAGCGATTAATGCAAGAGAGGCGGTCGACGAACTGCGCAATGGCTCGCTGGCGATACGCACCATTCAAAGACATAAAACACAGAAAGTCGTAGAGATTCACACAACAAGACGACGACTCAGGGGCGCTACTGTGATGAAGGCGTCGCCCGAAGGTGGCGATGATGGAGACGAAGCAGAACGAAGTGTGGGTGACGACGAAAATCCATGGGTGAAGGCGACGCCACGGGATGGAATCCCGAAGCACCAAGCGTATGCGACACTTCTGCGGCACGATGGAACTAAAACAAAAAAAAATTAATACAACATTAGTTGGCAAACAGGCGAACCAGGAAAACGCGGGAGGCTCGGTGTCCAAGTGTCCCGAGGCAAACATCACCGACGAAACTTGGGGAACTCTTTTTCCAAGTGTTCAGAGGCAGACAACACCGACGAAACTTCGGAGGGAGCTTGTTGAGAGAACCAAAGACCAACAACAACAACAAAAAATTGAAGCAAAGGCGAGAGAGAACGGACATCCAGGTCGCGGCAGTTCACTGATTCAGATGAATGCAGGCAACAAGGAAGAACGATCACTGGACACTGCGTGTCTTGAGGCGGCGTTGCCCCAGCGTTCAAAACAGAAAATAGGCCAACGAAAGAAAAGAGACAAGATAGAAAAACAAAACAAAACAAACTAAAACAAAACGAAAGGTGACAAAAAAAAAACAAAAAAGCAAAACGTCGGCGAGAAGGATGGCACAAAAGACCAGAATAGGCCGATTGGTATATGAAAACGACGACGCTAAGAAGAAATGGCGGGAACAGCCGACGGTAAGGAGTCAGCAAGGAGCGGAGTGCGACCACGGTTGTCGCCCAGAGGGCGCGAACGATGTTTCTCTAAACACCATGATCCACAGACGGCGTCCAAGGCGGTGGAGTAGAGATGCGCAGGCAGAGGCAGAACGCTTGGGCCCGGGTCATCCAAAAATCGAACGATGTACGAGCCGCCCTGATGAGCACCAATGCGTCCGGTCCACCACAATCCATCACGGGCCTTGTACCACAGCCGCGCGCCAACAGGGAGGGGCGAAGTGCTGAAACGGCGAAGCCAAGTCACATTAAGCACAACATCAGCCCCAGGAGGCAAAATAGCGTTCTCCACGATTCCGGGCTAGCTCCCGCTGTGCCGCGCGAGTCCGAGCCACTCGATATGTACGGTTACCCTGCTTGCTTTGGCAGGCCTCCCGGGACCAGTACAAGAGGATGTGTCGACGGAATAGATCAAGGTCGGATTCCCGTTCCCATGAAGGAGTAGTCAGGCCTACCCAATGCGTCTGGTACAGGACAGCGAGAACGCCGCTACGGCCCCGCACCAGTTGATGTCCCGAGATGTAGTCGACCTCGAGGCGCCCGACAGGCACCGACACATCATCCGCGGTGACGTGGAAAGGTGGACATGTATCTCCGAAGGAGTGCAGAACATAACGCGAAAGCTCGGCGGGCAGGAGATTGCGGCAAGTCGTCCGTCTTGCAACGAAAGGCAGACACGCGACAACGAGCTGCCGGGCCGGAAAGATCGGAAGGAAGGTCCAGGTAGAGGAGTTTATGCGCCAACGGGCGGCCGTCCGGAGTGGCGTCGGCAGAGGTGGGACCCACCGCAAGAACTATGTAGGGTCCCGTCCAGGAAAATGCGAATTTGGCCTTGAGCACCTGTTGGCCGTGTCCTTCTGCACACCCTGTCGAATTGTAGCAGCCGTGTTGTACACCCAAGCCCACCCGCCAACGGTAAACTGAGGGAGCTTGTGGATGGCGTCCAGCAGGGATGAATTTCGGCGTTCGACTCGCGAAATCATCAGCGCGTTGTACTCACGGACAATCTCGTAGGCCCGGCGCTGGCGATCGACAGCCAGGTTGCGATACTCGAGTTGATCGCGGGCCAAGCTTTGATGACC